AAAATGACATTATAAATATAAATAAATATTTCTCTTCGGCTTTTCTGTTTATGGATATCCCCAGAAGCTCTGTTTTCAATAGAAGACCACTTGGGAATATTATCTTCTTTTATCTAAAAAATACTTATTGCTAATTTTCTTTATAAAATAACTATATTTTGCCTACAGAAGGCTCTTTGACATTTCCAGACCAGGAGAGACCCTCTATGAAAATATTATCCTAAAATTGTGTTTATATGGCTGTAGATATCCTATTCAAGAGGATCAAAAGGTCTGTCGTCTATAGAATATATCATCGGAATGTAATCTTTTTGTTTCAATAAAAGGGTCCTTGATAATCTTCTGTGTATATAATATCTGTCCGTAGTAGATCTCTCGATGGAAAGCCTGTATTCTATTCTATATAACCTTTTTACACTTTAGAAGGTCCTACTCTATCTATAGAAAACCCTTTGAGTGTCTATCGAATGATCTTCCATCGACGAAATACCTGCTAATGGTATTCAGTTTATGGTAGTCTTCTGAGACCTCTTGAGTTAATTAATCTGCCAAGGACTTCTTGGGGGTCTTTAATAGACCAAGAGAAACTTTCTATAAAAATAGTATCCTAAAATTACATTATGTCTATAAACACATATTCCGGGTCTAAAGGTCTGCCTTTGAATAAAATTATATTCTTCTACCTATAAAATGACCCTTGGGAATGTTCTATGTATTAAGTACCCAAAAATCAAAAACCTCTTGTGAGCCTATACGAAATTTTTCAAACTCCTTTTGGCTGTTGGATACCTCTAAAATGTCCTATTCTATCTATGGAAGTGCTCTTGAACTCCCAGTATCTGTAAATAAATGTTGAGAATATTCTATCTATTGAATGGTATTTTATATAGGGAATACCTTTTAATTGTCATCTATCCTGAATCTCCCGACCTCTTTAGGATTTTCTCTTTATGAAACACCTCTACAGGATCTTCCGTCTATTGAACACTTCTGTGTATAAGGAGTTTTTGTTCGTGATGGACCTTGAAGGTCTGTAATAGATCTCTTGAGAGTCTTAAATCAGCAAAAATACCTTTTGAGGGTTTTCTTTCTACAGAAAATTCTATTTATGGACCATCTCTACAGAATCTTCATTTTTATGTAAGACTTCTGTCCATAAAGAATTTTTATTCGTGACATCTTGGGGGTCTTCTGTATATAGATTTACTCTTGATGGTTTTTAATCTGCACAAAAACTCTTGAGCTACACCAATCTCCAAAAAATTTGCTCATGGTCTCTTGAAGGACTTGTAGATATAGAAAACCTCTTGGGGGACTTCTATTTATAAAAGACTTTTTGAGGGTCTATAGAAGGCTTTTTGAGTATAAAATAACTCAAGATAGTGTTCTGTCCGCAGAAAACTTTCCCCTAAGAAGACATGCATCCACGAAGAAGACATATTTTTCCCTCTAAGAAGATCTATTCGAATTCCCTATAATGTCTTATTGGTACTCTATGCGGGGGTCTATTGCAGACCTATTGGTTTTCTTCTCAAAATACCTTGGGGTCTCCTATATGAAGATTTATTGGTCTCCTCTAAGAAATCCTTTTGGTCTCCACAAAAAAGGCCTATTAATATATTCTAAAAGTCCTATTGGTCTTCTCTCAGAAGTCCTATTAATCTCCTCTAAGAAGAACTATGGGTGTCTTCCTTGAAACTAGCCTTCAATAAAAAAGACCTACAGAAGGCCTCTGGTCTTTCTCTATAACTATTTTATCTTTAGAGAGCTCATAAGGATTTCCCCCACTTTCCATTTGATCCTCGTAACATGCGCCGCCAATAGGAAGTTCATTTTGTAGGTTTTACCTGTTACACCAACTTTTACGGTACGGTGATGCACCTTCAGCTGCTTTTGGCCAGCACGACTGTTTTCCCCCCGTTTTTTCTGGTGGCCTTTTGGGTTCACTTGTTTGTTTAGCGTAGCTGGAAATGGTGGGTGCACTCGGTCGGCATGGCTGACTTCGTTGATGATGATGTTTGTGTTTAAACAGCTACCGGAAGTTCGAAAAAACAACAATTCAATAGTGAAAATTAAAAAATAAAATAATATTTGTAATAAATGAAAATTGGGAGAAGAGAAACAGACACGGTTATGTTGATAGGCAAGACATCAAATGAACAATAATAACAACAACAACGGATTGTGGAAACATGGTTTGATGATTTCAAACAAAAACGAAGAAGAGCAGATATCCATCTACATATCTACATACACATTACCAGGCCACATGGATGCATAACACCAAAATGACAATGCTAATGTTGGCGCATGAATTGTGGTAGACAATAAAAAAAAGTACCGAAACGGGTGATGGTGTTGTGGCATAGGGCGACAGGTAGAAATATGAAACCGTAACATCGGAGGTCGGTGTCAGATGTTTTTTCTTTCGATTGTTAAGTGGTGATGTTAATGTTTTGTTTTTAGTTGGCAGGCTTGGAGTGAATGTTGGTGGTAACCTCATGTACCCACACTCCAGTGATACTCTCCAACTACTAGGTGCTTTGTACAAAGTGAGGTTAGGTTACTGTTTCTATTTTTTTCTTGTTAGAGCCAATGGGGGGAGTCTAGTTACTATAACCTTTTTTGCTCAGCCATTCATACACTCATTCGCTCATACATTCATTCATTCATACACCACAATTGTTAAAAATAGTTCTAGCATAAAATACTTTGCATGCTCTAAATTATTTCTAAACAGCAGTTTAGCTAACTTTCCAATGACATATTATACAGCGTGACAGAGTTTTACAATCTAATCTGCTCGTCGGAGTTTAGATTCGCCATGGAATTCCATTTAGCCACTTTTTTTGCCTGTGTGAGTTACAGGAAATCGATAGCGACGGCGACAAAATCCCATTAAATCAACGCCCAGAAAACATGTTAATTAAATAAAAATATTTCGAAATATCTATTTTTTTCTGTGTCATTAGTGGGATGAAGTCGGTCTTTTTCTAATTCGTCTTCTTGGTTCCAATTGTTCGTCTGCAAAACCTCTCTCACACACACAACACCTCCTACACAATAATCCATCCATCCCACATTGATCTCTATCGGATTTATCCGTACCATTCATTTAAACCAAACCCAATATGGTTAAAACCACATACAATATGAATGACTGACTGACAGCAACAACCACAACAACAACAAGGAGAACAACAAAAATTAAACGAAACCATTTCAAACCAAACCGACCAGCATCATTGTTAGAGGCCATAAATACACAGACAACAAATTAATCAGCTATAAAAAAATATATAATAAAATCATTAGAGGAGAGGACCGGAGCGGAGGGGAAATATCAATAATATTTTGTTTTGTCTTAATTATTAGTTTCGATTTCAATCTAACCCACATTAATGGCCCATTAGTTGGAAATTTTCAAATAAGAATACTAATATTTATGAATTTTGTTGGAGAACAACGTTTCTTAATAGCCGAGATGGGTCTTAAATGAGTGGGTAAGTATCAAATTTCCTAAACACTACGCAAAATTTCTTTGGAAAGGGAAGATGTAAGGGTTAGGAAGTCGTGTTGATCTTCTAGAGATAAAAATCAATTTTCCGGCTTATCGGCATAATGTTCTTCACATTAGGTATTCTAATTAGACTCGTAAGAGCAAACGAAATAGAGCCATGTGATCAGAAAATTATCATTTGGTCTTTTTTGTGCCAAGAAAATATACATTTTATAGACAGAAGGTATTCTATAAATAGAATATCCTAAGGGTCAAGTGATTTTCCATATATCCTTTAAAAAATCCAAGCTTAAAGTTCGGTTGGTCAAAAATATTATTAAAAAAACACACATCAAATGTTCGGTTTTTTCCTTCAAATATATTATTTAAAAAATCCAAGCTTAAAGTTCGGTTGGTCATTCCAAAATATTCTTTAAAAATCCACGCTTAAAGATCGGATTGTCCTTCAAAAATATTCTTTAAAAAATCCACTCCTAATGTTCGGTTGGTCCTTCAAAAATATTATTTAAAAAATCCACTCCTAATGTTCGGTTGGTCCTTTAAAATGTTTCTTTAAAAAATCCACTCCTAATGTTCGGTTGGTCCTTCAAAAATATTCTTTAAAAAAACCACGCCTAATTTTCGGTTGATCCTTTAAAAATATTCTTTAAAAAATCCACTCCTAATGTTTGATTGGTCCTTTAAAATGTTTCTTTAAAAAATCCACGCTTAATGTTCGGTTGGTCATTAAAAAATATTCTTTAAAAAATTCCCTCTTAAAATCCAGATAGTCCTTCTAAAAAATTCTTTAAAAAATTCACGCTTAAAATCCAGATGGCCCTTCTAAAAAAATTCTTTAAAAAATTCACGCTTAAAATCCAGATGGCCCTTCTAAAAAATCTTTGAAAAATCCTCGTTTAAAGTCCAGATGGCCCTTCTAAAAAATTCTTTAAAAAATCACGCTTAAAATTCAGATGGCCTTTCTAAAAAATCCTCGTTTAAAGTCTAGATGTTCTTTTTAAGAAATTCTTTAAAAAATCTTAAAGTCCAGATGGTCTTTTTAAGAAGTTCTTTTAAAAATCCACGCTTAAAGTTCAGATGGTCCTTCAAAAATGTATTTTACAAAATCGAAGGTTATTGTTCGGTTGCATCATTAGAAATAATCTTTTAAAAAATCCGCGTTTACAGTCCAGATGGTCCTTAAAAACATCTTTAAAAAATCCATATTTTATGTTCTGATCCTGGATAATTTTAATCAATGCTTTAAATACTTTTTTTCGATTCAGAATAATGTAATGAAAAAACTTGTAATTAATAATTTTTACTTTACGAATTCTCTTAAATAATTATTTTTCCGAAATATTTGAACATGTCTTTATTATAAAAAAATATTAACATATGTTTATTTCTCTTTTTTTTTAGGTAAGTGATATTGAGTGCATATATTGGTAAGCCGATCACAAATGTAAATTAAAAAAATAAAATTAATAAAAAAGAACTCCTAATAAATTCCACAAGCCACACCCAAATTTGGTAGATTTTGAGGATTACGACAATATGTACTCCAACCACTCCAATATTGGAAACCCTTTGCCTCGAATATTTTTAAGGCGCATTGCACATCTTCGCTTATGTCGTCGGTGAGGAAATCTTGAAATTATTGAAAGTTATTTTGAAAATTTAATTCTCTTATAATAATAGCAATTATTTCTTATTATATGATTTCGGTATTGAGGTCCTTACTTTCACATTTAATTTTACAACAGGGATATTTTTGTATATCACAGGCGGTCACTTTGTTATTCACTGAATTGCATTCTTTACTGCTGATTTGAAAGATGCCCAATTTGCTCTCCCCATTGCCAAGACGGGTGACTTTTGTCGTATCACGATCACTTTCGTGTTCAATTAGGCAGATCCCTGTAATATAAAAATAAATATTTGACGATATTTAAATATTAATTATATAAAGTATCATATATGCTACAGTGGAACCTCATGAGTGAATAATCTCTTAATTGAGAGCAACTGATATCCTTAATTAAAAATTTATAATAAAAACATACTCATATTTTTCTTTGATGGTTACATATAAGTTTTCACAATTTTGTCAGCTTGTCACATACAGGAGGTTCCACTGTAATAAAATATGATTTTTATTTTCTTTACTCACAATTCGACAAAAATGTTTTATTCACACGATATTTGTCCATCAATTCCCGCGCCAATTCACAGCGTAAATATTTCTTGCCATGGACCGTGTTGCATAGCAAAATAGTTGTTGTAAATATCAAAAATATTATCGCCAATTTGTTGTTATTATGTCGTTGATACATAATTATGATGATGAATTATTTGTATAAACAAAACTAAATTCAAACACGAATTGAATTAAGCGCTGAAACAAACGCTCGCTTTGAATTTTAAAATTAAATTGAAATAGAATTTCGAAACCCGTCATTGATCTTGATAATTCATACACAAATATTGCATTATAGCTTTGCAGGGGGGAGAGAGAGAGGTGGGGGAATGATTTGCAATTAAGCGATAAGAATTCATGAAATAATTTGTCGTGATACATTGGGTTTTTTCTACTTATTGATAAGGAACTGAGAATTGCCGAGAATCTACCGGTTGCTTTACTTGACAATGTTAAAGGTTATGTTTGCAATTTGATAGACTATTAAGGTGATATATATTTTTTTAAAGAGCTGATGAAATGCCAAAGTTCTTGTTAAAATATATACAAGCTTATAGTTCGGTTAGTCGCTCAAAAATATACTAAAAAAATCCAAGCTATAGTCCCGTTGCTCTTCCAAAAATGTTCGGATTATAAAATATCCTTGGTTCTTCAAATATGTCTTTAAAGAATTCTTGCTTATAATAGAGTTGATTCCTCAAATATATTCATTACATAATCTACACTTAAAGATCGAATGGTTCTTCAAAAAATTCTTTAAAAAATCCACGCTTAAAGATCGGATGGTTCTTCAAAAAATTCTTTAAAAAATCCACGCTTAAAGATCGGATGGTTCTTCAAAAATTCTTTAAAAAATCCACGCTTAAAGATCGGATGGTTCTTCAAAAAATTCTTTAAAAAATCCACGCTTAAAGATCGGATGGTTCTTCAAAAAATTCTTTAAAAAATCCACGCTTAAAGATCGGATGGTTCTTCAAAAAATTCTTTAAAAAATCCACGCTTAAAGATCGGATGGTTCTTCAAAAAATTCTTTAAAAAATCCACGCTTAAAGATCGGATGGTTCTTCAAAAAATTCTTTAAAAAATCCACGCTTAAAGATCGGATGGTTCTTCAAAAAATTCTTTAAAAAATCCAAGCTTAAAGATCGGATGGTTCTTCAAAAAATTCTTTAAAAAATCCACGCTTAAAGATCGGATGGTTCTTCAAAAAATTCTTTAAAAAATCCACGCTTAAAGATCGGATGGTTCTTCAAAAATATTTTTTAAAAAATCCACGCTTAAAGATCGGATGGTTCTTCAAAAAATTCTTTAAAAAATCCACGCTTAAAGATCGGATGGTTCTTCAAAAAATTCTTTAAAAAATCCACGCTTAAAGATCGGATGGTTCTTCAAAAAATTCTTTAAAAAATCCACGCTTAAAGATCGGATGGTTCTTCAAAAAATTCTTTAAAAAATCCACGCTTAAAGATCGGATGGTTCTTCAAAAAATTCTTTAAAAAATCCACGCTTAAAGATCGGATGGTTCTTCAAAAAATTCTTTAAAAAATCCACGCTTAAAGATCGGATGGTTCTTCAAAAAATTCTTTAAAAAATCTACCCTTCAAGATCGGATGGTTCTTCAAAAAATTCTTTACAAAATCCACGCTTAAAGATCGGATGGTTCTTCAAAAATATTTTTTAAAAATCCACGCTTAAACATCGGCTGGTTCTTCAAAAAATTCTTTAAAAAATCCACGCTTAAAGATCGGATGGTTCTTCAAAAAATTCTTTAAAAAATCCACGCTTAAAGATCGGATGGTTCTTCAAAAAATTCTTTAAAAAATCCACGCTTACAGTCCAGTTGGCCCTTCAAAAACATTCTTTAAAAAATTCACTTTTACAGGTTATATTTTTTTCGATCCATCCTAATGTATTTCAAAAAATTCACTTTTTGTATTACCACACAACCATAATATTACATGAATAATTAGAAAAATAATTATTATTTCACACAACAAATTTTTTAAAGCTCTGATTAGTCTCACCGCAGACAAAAAGAAAAAAACACACACACAAAATGATCGTACTTGACAAATGTGTAACAGGCAAACAGTTTTTTTACAATTTGCGGTTTTTTCTTATTTTTACACTTTACACAGATTCGTCGTAATTACAGCAAAATTGTCATTCAACAAATAATACTAAACTATTTGTTTATGTAATCCTTAAACTAATATTGATTTTTGCTTGATTCGTGTTCTTTGTTTTCGAAATCTCGTAATTGAATTATGTTTAAGGAATACAAATAAATTTCATATTGACAACAACAATGTGTAGAATATTAATTGAGTAAATTTATCCGCACTTAATGGTTCGTTGGCTGCTCGGTTGCTTGTTTTCTCGCCAATGTATTACTTATCACTGAGGACTGCCTGGCTGGCTGGCTGGCTGACACTTCACAAGTAATTAGTTAGGCACACAAAACATAACTGATCTACGCGAATACGAGTAGATTATTATCGAATAAGAAAAATGTAAATACTATTGATACCAAGTACCACCGTATATATACCCTGCATTGTTTAAGATAGCACTTAGAGGGTTGAATATAAAAAAAAATTATGTAGTTCTGAGAAAAAGTGTTTTCATTAATATTTTTTAGAACTTGCCGTAAATTTCAAACCTAGTTGATACCCTCTTAATTTTTAGTCCGACTAAAAATATATTTATTATAGAATGGGTTAAATATTTTTTCTGCATTACTAAAATTAGTGTTATAGAAAATTATTCAAATCTTTCCAAATTCCTTATATATTTAACACCCTTTCAGAAATAATAGGTTTTTTAAAGTCAGTTTTTTATTTTCCATATCCTAATTTTTTTTATCATTTAATGTCTATAAGTGGAAGCAAATAATCGTGATAATGGTGTAACCGTATTTATATTACATGCCACACTCAAATTCGGTAGATTTTGTTGATTTCGGCAAAATGAACTCCAACCATTCCAATTTTGGAATCCTTTCAAATCAAAGATTCTTTGGGCACACTCCACATCATCCGAAATGTCATCGTTGAGGAAATCTAAAACAAAGAAACATTTAATTAATCAATATTGAATATAAATAATTAAGAAAAATAAGAAACAAATGTGTTATGTATATTCGGCTAGGTTCTTTCTAATTATTCTTTAAAAAATCACGTCTATAGTCAGTCGCGTTGATTCTTCACTAATTTTTTTAAAAAATCCATTCTTATAGGCTAGTATTCCTTAAAAAAATTCTTTATACATTTAAGGTTTTATTCGGAGAGGTAAAATAAAAAATATTTAAAAAAACTGAAGTTTTGTCGTGGATGTCCTTTGAAAATATTTTTTGAAATCAAAGGTGGTCGTGGAGGCCCTTTTAAAATTTTATTTAAAAAATCCAGGTTTTAGACAGGAAGGTTGTTCAAAAGCATTCTTTAAATATCCCCGCTTATATTTCTGTTATTCCTTGAAAAATATTCTTTAAATTTTTCTTTAATTTTTTTAATTTAATTTTACACGATTATAGTCAGGTTGGTCCTTTTAAAATATTTGTATAAAAAGAACGTGCTTTTAGTCAGGTTGGTTCTTCAAAAATATTCTTTAAAATATCCACTCTTAGGAGTCGGATTTTCCTTCAAAAATATTCTTAAAAAATCATGCTTGTTGTTCGTTGGTTATTCAAAATATTTTTTAAAAAATCTACTCTTACAATTGGGATGGTCCTTCAAAAATATTCTTTAAAAAATCCACGCTTATAGTGTAGTGGGTCCTTCAAAATATTCTTTATAAATCCAAGGTTTTAGTCAGAGAGGTCCTTCAAAAATATTCTTTAAAAAATCCAAGGATGGTTCTTCAAAGATATTCTTTAAAAAATCCAAGGATGGTTCTTCAATGATATTCTTTAAAAGTCCACGCTTATAGGTCGGATGGTCCTTTAAAAATATTCTTTAAAAATCCAAGCTTATAAGCTTTCAATATTTCTTCAAGAAAATTCTTTAAAAAATCCACGCTTATATACACGATAGTACAAAAATAATCATTAAAAAATCACGATTAGAGACCGGCTGATGCTTCGAAAATATTATTTAAAAAATGCACGCACGTCAGGATGGTCCTTCAAAAAGGTATTTTTTTTATAAAATTCACGATTATCAACCTTATATCGGTCATTATGTATATTTTTTTTTTAATCCAAATCAGGATTATTGTCTTGCTGGTCCTTGGAAACTATTCTTTAAAAATTCCGCGCTAATTGTGTGGAATGTCTTTCAAAAATACTTAAACGATTCACGTTTACAGTTAGGATGGTTCTATAAAATTATTCTTTAAAAATCTACGCCACTGTTCAAAGCCTTGCAAACATTTTCTAGCAAAAATGGGTCTTTCAAAAATATTATCCAAAAATTGCATACACCAAAAGTATCAAAAAAAAAAAAAAAAAAAAAAAAAAAAAAAAAAAATCCACGTTTATCGCCATATTAGTCCTTCAAAACTATTTTCGTTTAAATAGATTTTCTAGTTCCGAATGTCCTTCAAAAATTAGTCGCTCGAAAATTTTCCTTAATAAATGCCTTTTCCATCTCTTCACTTACTTTCACATTTCACTTTACAACAGGGATATTTCTGGGTATCACAGGATGTTACTTTGCTGCCAGCACTGCATTCTTTGCTGCTTATCTGGAAAATGCCAAATTTATTGACCCCATTACCCAGGCGAGTCAGCTTATTTGTGTCGCGATTACTTTCATGTTCGATTAAGCAGATCCCTGGAAGAATATAGAGAAGAAGAATTTTAATAATTTAATTTTGGAAAATAAAATTTTGTTGAAAATAAAGAAATTAAAATCTGAAAGAAAAGTCCCCAAGGACCATCGTGGACCTTTATTTAGGTTCTCATATATAGTTCAAGTACTAGGACCTTCACCATGATGAAGGTCCTATGTTCAAGTGCAGGTATAGATATTTCGTTTTTCAGATTCACAGAAAATGTAATATGTAGGCCCATATTTTCAGTCTCTATGTAAGAATCGACAGACCAGTTTTATATATTTTACTTGTTCGGTGCATTCAACATTTATTATATATTTGATATAATTTTTCGAAAACTTGTTGTTTTAATTTGTAAAAATTCTAAAAAAGTTATTAACATATACTTACAATTTGATAAAAATGTTTTATTAACTTTGTATTTTTCCACCAGTTCACGGGATAATTCACAGCGTAAATACTTTTTGCCATAGGCGGGGCAGGTACAATGCAACAGCAGGACAATTACAATTGTAATTGATGTAATAAATTTGAAATTTCGACTTTTCATATTATATCCTTTATACAAAAATTAAAAAAAAATAATAAATTAGTAATAGATCCCCAAATAGTTCCGCAACGGATGAGATATTTTCAAAAAGTGGCAATCGGAATTGAACGAAAATAGGCAAAGAAAATAAAATTGGAATTTTTTTCAACTATGACGTTTATTTGTAAGAATATTTAACTATGAGATAACAAAACAACAAAGATAATAACATTTGTTTTAAATAATTTAGTTTTTGGGGTAATTTTCTGTGTGTTTGTTTACAAACATTAGCATAAAACAGTGGATCCTGGCTATGAAGAACAAACTGTTGGTAGACACGTGGTTAAGAGAGAATTAATGGAAATAAAAAATATTTCGTGAAGAAAACTTTATCCTATATATCCATAGGGTTGTAATTAGAGGGTGGAGATTTGACCATTCAAAAATGTTCTTAAAAGTCGTGGGGCCATAAAAAACCACATTCAAGATAATTGAAGTTCTTAAAAATATTCTTTTGCAAATCCCTCAAGAATATTCTTTATCAAATCCATGATTGGGGCCTCGATAGTCCTTAAAAATATTCTTGAAAATCCAAGCTCTATAAAACCATATTCAAAATTTACGTTTAAAATATTCTTTAAAAAAATCCAAAAACTTTCAAAAATATTAATCATATACTATTTCCGGTACTCCTACAAAAATATTATTTAAAAATCCACGCTTAAATTACCATTTGTACTTGAAAAATATTCTTTAAAAATCCACACTACAGTTTGACTCTTCAAATATATTCTAATAAAAATTCACTTTGTAGTTTGGGCCTTCAAATATATTCTTATAAAAATCCGCTCTTATAGTTTGGCCCTTCAGAAGTATTCCCAGTATAAACTTCTATTAGTCCTTCCAAAATATTCTTTAAAAATCTCCGCTTATGATCCGGTTGGTCATATCAAAATATTCATTAAAAATCCACACCTATAATCAGGTAGGCCCTGCCAAAATATTCTTTAAAAATCAACGCTTATAATCAAGTAGGTCCTTCCAAAATACAAAACCAAAGCCCAATCATTCCAATAGAAACGTTCAGAAGAGCCAAGGGCAAAAAAGATAATCAAGTTCCAGGTTTGCTCACTTGATGCTTGCATTCTGCCACAGGTCGGATGGTCACTAAATAAATTGCGGTACGCGCAAAGCAATTCGTCAGAAAACCAACGAATCGCGTTTTTTGGTTCGCTCCCCATAAGGAATTAGAGCATTCACTTAGTTTCATAGTTCATTTTGGTTAATTCGGCCACGATCTAGTTGAACGATTGGATCAATAGGAACTAAGAATCGCGAATTAAAAAGGAATTACTTGAACAAAACAATCTAAATGAACGAAAGAAACAGACCTAGTACCGATCGTTGCTTGTGAGGGAGTTTTTGGCCAAAAATAAAACCATCGCATTCACCGGACTTGGCCCCAGCTGCCTTTTCCTCTTCCCAAAACTAAAGGCAGCGATAAAAAGAAAGCGTTTTGCTATAATAAAGGAGGAGTAAAGCAGGAGCTTTTGGCTATACCAAAAAACGAGATTCAGCGGTTCGTCATGTATATTGGATTTGAACGCTATGCTATATATTCATTTCATACCCGTTCCACTGTATCTATTATTTTCAACAGATCTCTTCACCATTCATTCACCCATCCATCAGAGTAAGAGAGCAAACAATTGCCCAGATATAACCGGTTGAATTATTGGTCGAATCGATCGCCGTTCCGTTAGACAAACAGTCCGACAAACGGAATGACAGACTGACTGGCATACAAACAGCCATAACAACGTGTGAGTAAAAACAAAGACGAAGAAGCAACCGAAAAAAATAATAGAAACAAAAACAGCAATTGCTTCAACAAAACACACTTAAACCGCCGATAAGGAAGAATCATCTTTCTATTCCGGCCATAAATGGTGATTGCAACCTTTTGTGTTTCTAGGTTTTTGCCACAAATTGAAGCAGGTGAAGAAGATGTTCGTTCTAGTTGTATGAAACTGTGTTTATTTTTTTCTTCAGTTGGGTTCAATTCTAAAAACTGGATGTTTAAATAGATTTCACCAAAGAGTTTGTGATTTTTTTCTTCAAATGTTTTCAATGCATAAATATTAAAAAAACATGCAATTTGTAAACCTTTTTCTTTCAGATCTCTGTTTTGTGTTCTGCTTCTTGTTTTGTATATTATTATTTTTTGTTGTTGCAATATATCTCTCCCCTCTCCCGAATTTTCAAAAATAAATTTAAAAACACTTGTTGTTTCAATAAGTACGCTTTAAATACTAAAAGACCTGCTATACGGAACACAATTGTACGGACAAAACGCCACCGACAACGACGACGACGACACGATGGATGACAACGACGATAACAAAATACAACAGCAAATACAAAAGCACAATAAAAACATTGTTTAAATTTATTGTTGTTTTTGTTGTCATCGTGGTTGTATTATATGAATATTGTAGTATATTTAATATTTTTTTCTGGTTGTGTATTGTTTTGTTTTTAGTTAATATTTTGTGTGTGTTTTCAGTTCTGCACATTTCTCTCGTTGTTGTTGTCACGGTTTTATACAATTAAATTTGCTGTTTAGTGATTTCTATTGAGTATGTCAACAACAACAAGACTACCAACTATCATAATGTAAATAATTCAAAAAGTATATTGGATCGAGGCGAATTAAATGTGCTCTACATTAGTTCTCTACCTTTTACAAAACATTTCTCTTTATAATTCAAAATAATTTCAATTACATAAAAAATCCAAGCTTATATCCACGATAGTCCCCCAAAATATTCGTTAAAACATCACGATTATAGACCGGCTGGTCCTTCGAAAATATTTTTTAAAAAATGTACGCTTATAGTCAGGATGGTCCTTTAAAAATGATTTTTTTTTATAAAATTCACAATTATCGACCTTATATTGGTCATAATATTCTTTAAAAAAATTCAAATCAGAAAGTTATTTCAAAAATATGTAAGAAAATCCACGATAATCGCCCGGCTGGTCCTTGGAAAATATTCTTTCAACATTTCGCGCTAATTATCAGGAAGGTCTTTCAAAAATACTTTAAAAATCCACGCTTTCAATCAGGATGGTTCTAAAAAATTATTCTTTAAATCTGTTTGATGATCGTTCGGCTGAAGGTCAATGAAAAACGTTTGTTTTTGTTTAAGTTTGACTGTGACGTTAAAGTAATGTAGACGCTTTTCTTCTACGTTAATATATATATCTCTGAAGATGATTGTCGATGACAATCGAAATATTGGAAAAATAATAAATTAGAGATGGTTCATCGAGCTTGAGGTCAATGTTTTGTATTTATTTATTATTTTCCAATATTTCGAAATTCGTTGAATTTCATCTTCAGGGAAGTTTGATCTACAATAAATAAACATTACAACTAATTAGAATATATGTCACAGCTTTTTAATACTAAAAACATATAACTCATAAGATATGATCGCTTACTTTTAAATAACAAACATTAAATAATTATCTTAAAACTAGCGTAGTGTGACTACCACGGTCAAAAGTTATTATTGCACTGATTGTTATTTGTTAATTCTCCCCTCCTACGCGTTAGATGTCTGTAGCAATAAGCTGTGTTGTCTGTGTCTGCTTTGTTGTTGATTCGTTTTGTTGTTGGTAAACTATTGATGTGGAGCATCTCTATTTTTAGTCTCTTGTTGTAATGGCTCTCTTCTTGTAACACTTTCACGTCGTCTATGTTAGGTAAGTGATTGTTGTGTTTACAGTGTTCTGCTAACGCCGTTTTTTGTATTGAATTTGTGTTTCTTAATTTAATGTCAGATTTATGTGCTGACATTCGCGTTTTCAGTTTATTTTTTGTTGTTCCAACATATAATTTTCCGCAACCTTCTTTCTCGTTAAATAAAAAACAAAGTTAAACTAAAACAAACGTTTATCATTGACCTTCAGCCGAACGATCATCAAACAGAATTAAAAATTTCCAGGTCAACTATAAAGAACAACAGCATTCATTAAATCCACGCAATCTGAACAGCCTAGCTAAAAAATTTCTGCCAAAGATGGATCTTCCAAACGTATTATCCCAAAAATTCATCCTCCAAAAGTATCCTCTAAAAATCCACGATTATTGTCCCGTTAGTCTTTCAAAAACCTTTTTGCTTCAATAGATTGTGTAGTAGCGAACGTCTATCAAAAAGAAGTCGTTCGAAAATAATCTCTTAAGAAATCCCTTTTCCGTCCATTCACTTACTTTCAAATTTTACATTACAACATGGATATTTATGGGTATCACAGGATGTTACTTTGCTGCCAGCACTGCATTCTTTGCTGCTTATCTGGAAAATGCCAAATTTATTTACACCATTACCCAGACATGTCAGTTTATTTTTGTCGCGATTTCTTTCATGTTCGATTAAACAGATCCCTGAAAAATAAAAATAAAAAAATATATATTGATAATAAATAAGAAAAATCTGAAGACCTCCATGAACCATCTTGAGCTTTTATTTCGACACGCATTCATATGAAATGTATTCGAAGCCCCTTGTCACCTAGAGGAAAATTGGCTACATCAAATAAGCAAGGACTCCAACCAGTGCCCAAAATTCAATGAGGCATTGTTTCTAGGCCACGATAGATAGCATACACACCTAACTAAACTAACACAAGGCTAATAGATCTAGTAAATTAGCGATGGAGGAGTTACAAGAAAAAAAAAACGAATTGAGAAATAGATTAAATAGATTATTAGAATTTCCTTCAAAATTCAGCAGAATCTTACGATTTCCCATTACGACAAATAGATTTCAAACCTACATACATTAATAATTTTGCTGGTGTATTTGTTCTCCGTTCTCTTTTCGTTGATTTTTATTTCCCATCTTCTATAGGGATAACAAAGCAATACTAAACCAATAAAGCACACGAGGACGGAGATAATGCCACCCAGAGGTAAATTGCAAAACTAAATAAGCAAGACACCCAACCTATGCACAAAATTCAATGGTATGTTGTTTCTAGGAAGCAATAGATGGCAACCCTAGGAAGCGATAGTTGGAATAAAAAACAACATTAATAAGAACTGATAGAATAAGATTTGAACTTATGTTCCAAAAGTAGGTAAAAATCTTGATATATTCAAACTCGAAATTATATGCTATCCTTTTTAAACATTAAAAAAATTAGTCTCCTTTAATATAGACGTTAAAAATTCCCCCTTTCATAATGCTCTTTTGTTACCAATGTCTACATAAATCCACAATTCCTTCCATTTTTTTTTTCAAAATCTATACCGTACTAAACTGTAAAAATCCCCTATACGATATATTCATTATGCAAAATGCGTATTAAATTTGTTTCAAATACCTCAACGCTTGTTGTCAATGGAATAAAGAAAACAAACTGTATTTAGCACCGCCACAATCAAATCCACATTTAAATTTTATATGACCATGTGTAGGGGTTTAAAGTACAAAACAGATAATTGTGTTTGTCCGCTTGTGTTATTGTTTTACTATGTGCAAATATTTTATTTAATAGTGTTTATTTAAATTTCAAAACTTAAATCATATGTTTAAGCTTTTTATTTATCTAGTGGAATGGAGAGTGATCGTGTCGCCAAATGCCTTTAGCGAAAGTATTATTCAGAAAGATAAATTGTGTAGTGGGTGTCTAAGCTTTTTATTTGCATAATCTCAGTAGTATACTCTCTTCTTGCTCTATCTCTCTCTTTGAACACGATCACTGCATATTCTTATCTGATGTTGATTTTTTTTAATTTACATGCAATCAGCCAATAAAATGTCGACAATATAGTGTTATCAGTTATTACTGAATTCTCGGAATCCCCCCAGTGTTACGGGAAATAAAATATTGCATCAAATATTTGATTACAAATTGCAAATGCAGCACAAAATAAGTTTGTTAATTGAATTATGATAATATAAAAATTCATTCAGCTCGCCTGAAGTCTTTTTAGACGAAAGACTCCCTTCAGAGATTGCCTATAAAATCTTTAGATCGTATATAAAGAATCCCTCCATCTCGTTCATAAAGACTCCCTTTAACTCGTCTATAAAAATCACCTGATCTCGCCTATGAAGACACCCTCTGCTCTCCTATAAATAATTCTTTACCTCGTCTATAAATACTCTCTTCCTGTCGTCAAAAGACTCCCTCCAACTTGTCTATAAAGATGCCCTTTAGCTCGTATATAAAGACTCCCTTCAGCTCGTCTATAAAGACTCCCTTCAGCTCGTCTATAAAGACTCCCTTCAGCTCGTCTATAGAGACTCCCTTCAGCTCGTCTATAAAGACTCCCTTCAGCTCGTCTATAAAGACTCCCTTCAGCTCGTCTATAAAGACTCCCTTCAGCTCGTCTATAAAGACTCCCTTCAGCTCGTCTATAAAGACTCCCTTCAGCTCGTCTATAAAGACTCCCTTCAGCTCGTCTATAAAGACTCCCTTCAGCTCGTCTATAAAGACTCCCTTCAGCTCGTCTATAAAGACTCCCTTCAGCTCGTCTATAAAGACTCCCTTCAGCTCGTCTATAAAGACTCCCTTCAGCTCGTCTATAAAGACTCCCTTCAGCTCGCCGATAAAGACTCCCTTCAGCTCGTCTATAAAGACTCCCTTCAGCTCGCCGATTAAGACTCCCTTCAGCTCGTCTATAAAGACTCCCTTCAGCTCGCCGATTAAGACTCCCTTCAGCTCGTCTATAAAGACTCCCTTCAGCTCGCCGATAAAGACTCCCTTCAGCTCGTCTATAAAGACTCCCTTCAGCTCGCCGATAAAGACTCCCTTCAGCTCGCCGATAAAGACTCCCTTCAGCTCGTCTATAAAGACTCCCTTCAGCTCGCCGATAAAGACTCCCTTCAGCTCGTCTATAAAGACTCCCTTCAGCTCGCCGATAAAGACTCCCTTCAGCTCGTCTATAAAGACTCCCTTCAGCTCGTCTATAAAGACTCCCTTCAGCTCGTCTATAAAGACTCCCTTCAGCTCGTCTATAAAGACTCCCTTCAGCTCGTCTATAAAGACTCCCTTCAGCTCGTCTATAAAGACTCCCTTCAGCTCGTCTATAAAGACTCCCTTCAGCTCGTCTATAAAGACTCCCTTCAGCTCGTCTATAAACACTCCCTTCAGCTCGTCTATAAAGATGCCCTTAGCTCGCATATAAAGACTCCCTTTAGATCGTCTAAAAAGACTCCCTTCAGCTCGTCTATAAAGACTCCCTTCAGCTCGTCTATAAAGACTCCCTTCAGCTCGTCTATAAAGACTCCCTTCAGCTCGTCTATAAAGACTCCCTTCAGCTCGTCTATAAAGACTCCCTTCAGCTCGTCTACAACGACTTCCTTACAGTTGGTCTGTAAAGTCTACTTTCAGCTCGTCTATAAAGACTCCCTTCAGCTCGTCTATAAAGACTCCCTTTAGCTCGTCTATAAAGACTCCCTTTAGCTCGTCTATAAAGACTCCCTTCAGATCGTCTATAAAGACTCCCTTCAGCTCGTCTATAAAGACTCCCTTCAGCTCGTCTATAAAGACTAACTTCAACTCGTCTATCTTCCCGGTTCTAAAATATACCCATTGAAACATATTCATATATTTTTATTTTAAAATAAACAAAATGCAAAAATTAGATTAAATTAAAAAAAAAATAGTAGCAGACAACTTAAATTTCTGACTTAAGACTTAGGCATACATAAATACAAACATACATATTTTAGACTAAAATTTATTTTAAATAAAATACCAATTTTTTTAAACTTGTTGTTATAATTTTCTTGCGATATTGTAACAAGAACGAGTCAACGATGGCAGCGACAAATACTTAATATTATTATTTTTATTGTTGTTTCGTTGTGAAAAAACTACAATGAATTTAGTTAGTCTTACAAATGAAGAATAAAAAAAAACGCAAAACTTTGTTTACACCAACACTCAAACTCCTCCTGGTGTGGCTGTTTTTTTGTTTTGGATGTCATTCTTTCAAACCACACTCCATTCACTCCGTTGTTTTTAGTTTTTTGTTTTGGTTTAAACTCGAAGAAACTACCCACATTCTCTACCCAACCAACTATGGCTGTGGACTTGGCAGCAGACAGCCAAACCGCCAACCAACCAAGCCACCGATCGTCGTCATTCCATTTCAAACTCAGCAGCGAGATACATCTGGTAATGATCGCCCACGACATTTATTTACCCAACCAGGCCAAGCCTGAAACCCATGACGATTAAAAATCTGCATGGCACATCGCGAATCATCCGAAATTTCATCATTTAAGAAATCTACCCAAAAAGAAGAAGAAGACGAAAAAACATTGAAACTACAACAAAAGGCCTCAGTATTTTAAATTCTAAGTATATATGGTCTCGGTCTCATGTCTCATATAAAAAGGGTGTGTAGTAGGGCACCGTATTTATTTTTTTTTTGCCTTGTTTTGTTGTGATATGTGGCATGCTGGGCATATTCGTTCGTTGTCAGTCATCCAGCCAGCCAGACACAATGACTTTGAGTAGGCTGTTTAACAATATTGTTAGCAATCATGGAATGGAAATTAAAGAAAGTTCTTGGTGGTAATGGTATATAAGCTGAGGTGATTGGGTGTTGTAAGAGGGGAATTTATGTTTCGTTTTTTTAATATTTGTTCCCAAACAATGGAATTGTGTGTGTTCATGTAATGGAATGTAATTATATTTCTATAAAAAAAAATAATTTACCTTCACATTTAATATTGCAAATGCCACCCTTACGCCCTTTTCGGCACCAATTTTTACTATTTATCTGTAAATAATTTTTAATAATAATTGAAATACGAATAAAAAAATTTATTATGTTATACTACAATACAAATTTCAATCATCTATGTGAGTCCTCTCCCAGTCATCGACAAATACTGTCTTCAATTATATTTAAAAAAACTCCTATCACTCCTTCAAAATCTCTGGTTTCTCATATAGCCTTCATTCAGCTCTCTGATCTGGTCTATAGAAGACTCCCTTTAGTTGGCCTGTAGAAAACTCTCTTTAATTCGTCTATAGAATAATTCCTTTAGCTCGTCTATAAATACTTCCTTGAGTTCATCCGTGAATATTCCCTTCCGGCTCATCGGAAAAGACTTCAGTTTGTCTAAAAAGACTCCCTTCAATTCGACGTTTAATACCCCTTTAGCTCATCTATAAATACTCCCTTCAGTTCGTCTATAACGACTCCTTTCAGTTCCCCTATAAACTCTCCCTTCCGTCTACAAAGACTCCCTCCAATTCGTCTATAAATACCCCTTCAGCTCTATAAAGACTCCTTGCTTATATAATAAGACTCCCTTTAGTTTCTGTATAGGTGTATCCTTCAGCTCGTCTTTAAAACTTCCTTCAACTCATATATAAAGACTCCTTTTAGATCGTCTACAAAGATTCCCATCAGCACGTTTATGTAGAGATTCATCATTCAATTTATATATAAAGATAGCTTTCACTCATATATAAAGCCAACCTCAGCCCATACATAAGGACAGCTTTATGATCATCTATATATAAAGCCTTCTAATATATATATAGACATCCTCCAGATCATCTACATAGGCACTGTCTATAAAGATCGACTTCAGCTAGCCTTTTAAAAGATCTCCAGCTCGCCTGCTTATACAGCCTTCAGATTGTCTATAAGGACATCCATTAGGTATTCTGTAATAAAATATAAATCCCGCCCCTCAGTTAGTCTATTAAGTGTATCGCTTCAACTTGAAAATAAAATAATCCCTGCCTCGGGTCTTTAAAATAATATTTATTCAATTCCTTTATAAAGGACTCTACTCCAATTAGCTTGTCCATAAAAGTTTCCTCCAGCTCGTATTTTTTAATATAAGTCCAACTTTTTTTCTTATCTATTCATATCTTGCATTTTAAATATCAAAATGCATATTTACCTGAAATAGTCCATAACCCACACTTTGATTTGATAATTGCATAACTTTTGAAGTACTACGGCCGCTCTCATTCTCCACCAGGCACACCCCTATGAAATATATTGAAAATTTTATAAATTAGTTTACCCAAGGATATAGGAAACATGTCCTGGGATTTACATACAATTTGCTAAATAACTTCTTGGGAAATCGTGACGCAATAGCTCCTTGGCCAATTGGCAGCGGGTAAACATTTTGCTCGAACACTCCGGCGGCAAGAGAGTAAAATATATTAAAGCCCAAAGGGCGGCAGCGTTTTTGAAATTTAACATTTTTAAACTCATAATTAATTAAACCAGATATAATTATTTATTGTTTCCAATTCGTCAATTGTGAACTAAGCATTTGATTTGATTCGAATTTCTATAATAAGGATATGATCTCTTATCTTTTGATAAATGTTGATAAATTTGAAAGTGATTTCTTTAAAAAATGTCAACAACACTCGCGTTGCAACAACAGCGTCTTAAAGCAACACGTCTCAAATTTCCACTCTAACTAATTTCGTTGTCGCATAAAAATGGTCTTTTAAAGACTCGGTGATCTTCCAAAAAATGTGGATTACGTGATTTATCGTCGCGTCTTTTCACTTTCCATTTCTAGTGCAAATTGTAAAAAAAACGGAAAACGCATTGTGTGTCATTTTATCTATGACATTAGATGAACATTCATCATCCATTTCATTCGTCGTCCATTCATAGTCAAGAATTTGTTTTTTTTCGGATCTGAATTGTAAAATTAAATTAAGTGGCAGATTATGTGTGATAATTTGTTGTAATCTAACATGATCGCCTACAACCGAAATATACATTTATCACATTGGTTTACAGTTGTGGGGGAAATTTTAGAACTTGTAATAAAAATATAGAAATTGTAGTAAAAAAATGTTATATAAACAGGGATACACTGATTCTTCGTCGTCTATAAAAAAATTCCCTCAACCCGTCTAGAAAAATACTCCCTTCAGTCCGTCTAAAAAATCCCTTTATCTCGTCCATAAAGACTTACTTAAAGTCATCTAAAAAGCTTTCAACTCGTCTAAAACAGACTCCCCTCAGTTATAAACACACCCATTATCTCACATATAAAGACTCCTAGAGACCGATTATAAAGACTCCCATCGGCTCGCCTAAAATCTACCCTTCAGCTCCCAGCAGGTAGTCATAAAAAACATCATTCAGATCTTCTTTTAAAAAGGCTCCGTACATCTCTTTTAAAAAGACTCCCTTCAGCTCGCCTAAAAATACTCCTATCGTCTATAAAGACTCCATTCGGCTCGTCCATAAAGACAACCTGCAACTTGTCTACAAAGACTCCCTTAAGCTCATCTATAGAGACTCTTTTCAACTCGTCTACAAATGTCTCTCTTCAGCTCGTCTCTAAAGACTCCCATCAGCTCACATACAAAAAGAAAGACTCTCTTCAGAACGTCTGAAAATCTTCATTCAGTCCTTTTTCGTTTCCATAGAATTCGATTCAGTCTCATTGCGATTAGGTTTTGACAATTTTTATGAATACGACCATTGGCCATTCTCTTTATTATAAAACAAACATCCGATCATTTATTGGAAAATCCTTTATTAGGTTTTCAAATCCCACTAAATAGGTGGTTTTCCCTTTCTAATTCCCCCCATAAAATTATTCTGTATATTATTGTACTTTTTATTTTGTTGAAAATCTTATTTTTTACTCCACACAGCTGTAATAAAAATAGCATAAATTTTTTTGTAGGAAAATATTTGCCACATTTAAAATAAAATGGGTTATGATGTCTGATCAGATAACATTGGTTTTGGCAAATTGGGTCATAACATGCCATTGTGGCTCAATTCCTCTTCTAATAGAATTAAATATGTCAAAGTGTCAAAAAACCAACAACAACAACAAAGAAATATTTATTTCATGGAAACAAATGGGATCACTTTTCCTTTCTGTTGCCCCGCAGGCATTATCAAAGTTAAAAATAAAAACTAAAAACTAAATTGAAGTAAATTTTCCATCGCCTGACAGTTTTTGTTGTTGTTGTCATATTGTTTACACATAGATTCAGTCCGAGTAACTGACCATAGACAATGCAAGCGATGCATTTATTTGCATTGACAATATGTACAGCAACAACAACAACAACTAGCACTAATATAATGACGACGATGTTGAAGCTTGCGAAGCGACAACAAACCATTCAATGCATCAAGGTTGGTTTCCTCTTAAGTAATTGTTTTGTTTTCTGTTTGTTTTTCTTTCAAGATCACGCGCGCACTCACACACACACATACATCTGAGATAACTCTTGTCACGGACGTCAACGATTCCACAAAATAATACAAAATGTGTCAATTTGTGTTGATGTTGTTCTTCAGCAGTTTAATGGTCATTGTCCTGGGCCAGACAATTGATGCCTCATCAGCAATGCTTAGAAGTGAACAGAATAATACTACATATTTGGCCTCGACGACAACAATACCAACTGTGACAAAAGCCAAGGCATTTTCTACGGGATTTGAAGTTGCTTCCTCCACAGTGGCTTATGTGGCCTCATCATCATCTCCCACACCATTGCCCTTGAATCGAAAAAATGCCAAGTTTTTTAAAAAACCCTCATCGACAAAGAGAAGGAAAGCGGTGGATGTTTCATCCATACCCATTGGAGATGATACCACCGAATGGCGGTGTCCCAATATAACAGTATCACGCAGTCTGGAATGTGGTTGTGATCTGCCACATACTTTGAGGTGTAATGGGGATTTACATGGTTTGGCGGTAAGTTTCGGATTTAATCGCAAATAAATAATTCATTTAAATAATCGATTTTTTCTTTTCCAGGTCTTATCGGACAATCTAAGGTCCTCACCCTACTCCGTGGCCTTATTGGATGTTTCGTTACGTAATGTCACATTTCTGAGTGACGCTAGAATATTTGACAATGTCTCACTGCGCTGCCTAATCATATCTTCGGGTGAAATTAAACGTGTCCACAAATCTGCCTTTTTGGGCATAAAAGGTCCCTTATTGGCTTTGGGTTTACCCGGAAATGCTCTGCTAGCTGTACCCTGGAGTTCATTATCAACATTGGTGGACTTGGAACGTTTGGATTTATCAAATAATAAAATAAAAGCATTGGGTACCTCGGATTTGGCTGCCTTAGTTAATTTGGAATATTTGGATATGAGCAATAATCAACTGTCAAGTATATCTCAAAGGACATTTGCGAATTTAAGGCGTTTGGAAGTACTGAAATTGGGTGGTAATCGTTTGGGTGATTATGCTTCCAGTTTAAAGGCCCTAATGCAGTGTCATAATTTGAGGTTTGTAATTTTTTGAGATTTATTACAATTCTTATTCAAATAATTTTCAATTTCTTTACAGAGACCTGGATCTAAGTGCCAACAATTTAAGTGGCAATCTCTCGGCCAGTTCCATACCAGTTCTGAAAAATCTAGCCAGTTTAAATTTAAATCGCAACCTTATCAAAAGTATACAAAATAAGGCACTGATGAATTTCTCGCGCTTAACCACCCTTTCGCTGAGGCATAATCAAATTGATGTCCTACAAGATCATGCCTTTTATGGTTTGGGCTCTTTGGAAACATTGGATTTAAGTTATAATGGTATTGTGGCAATTTCCAGTGCGTCACTGCAACATTTGACACGTCTAAAGACCTTGGATTTAACACATAACTTTTTACGAGCTCTAACCTCAGATCTCATTAAACCTCTGCCATCATTGGTAGAATTACGATTATCGGGTAATGATATTTCCATTGTGGCCAAACATGCTTTGGATGGTGCCCGGGAATTGAAAACATTGGTTATGGAAGAGAATCCCTTATCATGTGATTGTACAATGCGTGAATTTGCTGAATGGTTACAGGCTGCGAAGTTAGTGTCGCAGGATTTGTTGAAAATCACATGTGTTACACCACCCAAATTGGAGGGTGCCCCACTTATTCAGGTGCCCATGGAAATGTTAAGTTGTGGTGATATGGAAAACCTGGAAGAGGATAATGCCAATATCATAGAACAATTGGAGGCAATGGCCAAGCAGAATCATTCAACAAATCATCATATTAAGGATTTGTCGGAAGAGGTGGGTACTCATACAGGTTTATAAGGGATTGGTTTATATTTTATTCATTATTGTTTTTGATTACAGATTATCCTCCATGAATTACATTTTTCCGCTGATTATGGTCTCATATTAACCTGGATCATAAATCTTAGCAAAAACGATTATATGTGTGATGCCATTTTTGTCTACAAGGAAGAGAACATAAATGAAATTTTAATTGATAATTCACCAGTAAGTTGAAAGAAATATAACGAACTTCTGAAATGATTCTAATTGCTAAAATTCTTCTCTACAGATCCACTGTGAAAGTAAAATTATAAATGGCCAAAATACAGTTAGTGTTATTGTACCAGATAGTTCCTCGTTGGATATTGGTGAAAGGTAAGTTTTTAAATATTCAGATTTCAATTGAGATATAAAATCACTTTATCTCTCTCTCTTCTCTCCCAGTTATCGTTTCTGTTTGGTTATGGTCCAGGAACATAATGAACAATCTGATTTGACGGTGGGGTGTTCCAATATTACACAACTACAAGTGAGTAATAATGCAATGTTACCAAAAAATCGACAATTTGTGGCCAGACGTCCCTATGCTGATCTATCGAAATTCGATAGATCCCCACCACCACTACCAACAACATCCGATGTTGTATCATCGGAACAAAATACGAATATAGATTATAGTATTAATTCGCGTAAATTTAATACAATGACGTCGAGTCAACAACGTAACACAGATGGTGGTTATGATGATGAAGATGACGGGCCGCATACGACACATGCCGAAAATCCTTATGAATTTTTAAATTCTCTAAATAAAAGTTTTCTACCCGGTTTGGGATTGGGTATTTTGGTGACATCCATTATGGTCTTGATATGGGCTGCATCACGTCTACGACAAAATGTCAATCACAATAATAATAACAACAATAATATTATGCATGGTGATCGGCGTTCTAGTTCACCAACGGCCACAACATGTTATGCGGCATCGGAACATTTGGCCCGCCTGGCAGATACAGAAAATGGTGGTTCGCGTTATTTGAAACTACAAGCCACCACTAGTCTGTAGATTAATAGTTGGAAAAATATTATTGGACTTAAAAAATTACCCATTGTATGGTCCAAAGGTTCCTTTTTGAGTGTGCGGACCTTTGTTCTTTTATGTGATAGTACTTCTTTGTCATTTTTTTGATGAAGTACCCTTTTTGATTAATTAATACTACTAACTTTATTTATGTTTAGTTTTCAAATGATTAATTTTGTTTTTAAATTTAAATATAGAACTTTAAATTATTTAACAAAGAAACTTAACATTAGGTCCTAAGCCAAATATAATTGTTGTAATTTGTAATATTTAAATATTAGTATGTAATCTCAAATACTGCGTAGTTTTAAGTTTTAGTTATTTAGGTTTTGTTTTTTTTGTAATATTTTGTTTTGTAATGAATTCAAAAAAAATCAATACCTTATATCGGTCCTGTGCCATATGTTAAGTATATTTTGTAATTTATTTAAATATAATTTTTTATACTTAGAAATATAACACATTTGTTTATACACTAACCAATAAATAAGAGATAACTTATTAACACACACACACACTTACACACATTTAGTAGTTTTTTGGAAAATAAATTATCACAATTGATGAATTAAAAAAAATTTTAATTTTTATACCTTTTACTATATGTTTTTGCATATTTCTTTAGTAGATATATATGTAAATACTGTCGGAAGGCATATTACTTTTGTGATGTCTTCCTACAGCCTTGAAAACATTATTTAATTGTACACCCTTAGCTTTATGATTACCATAAATGTGTCTCATTGAAATATTGGTGTCTCAAGGTAAGGCGAAAGCGAATGAGATGAAATCTGACCCAAAGACGAACCCACCAATTGAAATTGAAGAAAATAGGTTCGGAATTAGATATACCTTCCATATGTGACATCGATCGATTTTTATCAAAATAGTGGACCAAATACCCGACGTTTTTCCGATTCCGATGAAATGTTGTACAAATCCCCCTATAGAGCCTAGAATGAGATGTGTTAATTGTTGTTGTAATCGGTTTAGATTTAGATACGATTCGCAACGATTGCGACGAAATGTTGTACAGCGTACCGAATTAAATGTAGAATAATGTCTGCATATTTTTTTATTAAAATCGGCTAAGATTCAGACATAGCTCTCATAGTTTCGTCAGATTTCCATTAAGTGGTACACCAAACTCCCTAGTTTTTCCGAATGAGATGAAATTTTGTACAGCGTACCATATTAGGTCTAGAATATGGCGTATAAAGTTTTATCGAAATAGATTCATATTTGGGTACAGCTCCCATAAATATTTTCGTCCGATTTCATGGTAATTGTACACCAAATTCCCAATGAGTGTACGATTGGAACGAAATTTTGGACATTGTGCATATTTGAGTCTAGAATGACGTGTATTAAGTTTTATTGAAATATTTAGACATAATCCCTATATATATTTTCTTCCGATTTTATTTATATGATACTCCAAACTCCCTAAGTTTGCTCAGTTGATATGCTTTGTTCATATTATCGAATAACATGAATATGGATTCATAGAAGGTTCATATTAAAAAGGGTTTCCTCCGTCCGGTCGAAAGAATATTGTACACATAAAACCAAGAGAAAACATCTCTAAAACTTGAAACCCGTGTACCTATTACTATAGTTTACAATAAAAATCTTAGGAAAAAAATCTTAAGGAAACCCAAACCATCTTTAAATTACTCAGGTTATAATTTGTCTCAGTCAGATTATAACTGGTAACGAATCAGGAGTTTATGATCAATAAATCGTTGTAATCAATCATCGACGAAGGCCTTCGAGTTTCGGCGGAATCAGAAGATTTTGTTCATGTGGTAAATTTAAAAAATCCTATTTTACCTTAAATTTCAGTAAACTATCGTCCTTTTTGTTCAGTAAAAATTTTGTAAATTTAAAAAATCCTATTTTACCTTAAATTTCAGTAAACTATCGTCCTTTGTAGTTTACCAATAAAATCCTCGGTTTTTTTTTTTCAAAAATATTTCTTAAATTTATTTCATTATTATTATTTTTTATTAAAAAATACAAATCATCTACATTGAAATTGCTATATACAAAAAAGTTTAATTTTAATATTACAAAAAAAAAAAGAATACTCAAATCAGTTATTTCTACAAAAACATATTTTTTCAATTTACATTCGTTTCATTGCAAAAGTGGTCAATATTCCTTCTTTTTTTATTAATTTTTCATTACCAAGGCTATATTGAATCACAGTTAAATTTTGTTGTTATCGTTGTTGTTGTGGTTGTTTACAATGTTGTTGCATTCTTCTTCGTCTCATTAAATATTTGCTTCGCTACTTTTGCTATGAACCTTTGGATAAACATTCGGTTGACGCATGACCTCATCGTAGGAGGGTGGTGGTGCTGCTGAAACAAAATAGCCAAACAAGAATGAAAACAAGGTACTTAGTTAATAATGACAAACAATAAAGAGCTAACTTTTCAAAGCTTTAATTAATGGTTCTATGACCTTTGTTTTTGTTTCTTTTTTTGGGGTTTAAAGTTATTGCCCTTAATCGAGAATTCCACTCACCATTAATAACATAATCCTCATCATGGGTATAGGCAGGATTTATTATTGCATCGGTTGGATAGGTGGTAACAATATTTCGTTCATCTACTGCGGATAGGGGTATACGTTGCGAATGCCTTCGCAGACTATTGCTACGCTGATGATAGGATTCCATTAATTGATCTTCTTGTTCTAAATCGCCACGCTGCAACTGTATGACATGTACGGAGGGACTGCGATGATCTGGAAATGAAGAGAGAGATAACACGTTAAAGGTTTGAATTGAAAAACCAAACTGATTCAAAATTTAGACCGGTCCGCTTCCTCTTCAAAATAAATCGGTGCTTTCAAGACTCCTTGAAAAGGCTAATTTTCAATTTTAGGAAGAATCCAGTGAGGAAGGGTTGAAATAAGACGTGTGGATTATATCATATCCTATATCACTAGTGGGTTTTCTGGGATTCTATTTTTGTTCTTTACCGATAATATATATAACGATTTAAATTAAGCTTAACAAATGTTCCTCTCTAATGATTTCATCCTATCGATCGGGCAGTAGCTATATAGTAAGACGTAGCTATGTTGGTGGTGATCACTTGGGTATGCTAAGTAACATTTTGTCGCAATCAATTTTTGAATTTTTTTACACAAGTAGCCTTAGAGATATATAAATCTGAACCATTTTCAAGAAAAACGTAGTACACCTCATTCTGAATCCAATGTCAGTTTGAAAAAAAGTGGGAACTTTGATGAATCATCGTCGAATCGGTCGAAAAATATATATGGGAGCCAGACTTAAATCTGAATCTATAAAATAATTTATTTGTATTAACCAACCCGTTGAACCTCGTCAAAAACTAACTCCATTAAAGTAAATTATTCTTATTATTTGGGTTTCAGAACCTGGAAGAATCTATTACTTGAACTTTTTTCATCCATTCATGTACAAAAAATAAAAAAAAAATGTTAAAAAAAAAACGTCACACTAAAATATTTTTAACCTTAGTATCCTGAAATTCAAACATAAAAGCCTATTGTAGGGCGGACTGTACCGGACCACAGCCATAATTGTAGTGTTTCTAAAAATGGTACATCAAAACACTACAAATTGTAGTGTATCGGCAAGTGGCGCCCAACATTTGGTTGTACTACAATTGGGGTTTTTGGTCCGGAAACGATACCGGACCTCATCCGTTCATCTATTTCCTTCATACTCTCCCTCTTCCACCTAGTTCCTTTTGATCATCTACAACTACCTGTTCAGTAACCGATTTATCTGACGTGCGATTTATCGTGGAGCGAACTGAGAAAATCGAACCCCTTCAGAAACGAGATTGCACAACTCTATTAGAAACATTAGTCAGATCACTACAAATCGTAGTGTTTCGACAAGTGGCGCCCAACGTTTAATTTCGGACCAACATGTTGAACACCACAATCGTGGTTAAGCTCTGGTACAGTAACACTAACCTGATCGTAGTGTACTTATCCATCCTTAGAACTATAATTGGGTAGTTTTGGAACGAAATAGTTTCGTAAAAGGACGAAAAAACTTGACGAAAAACTAAGATATCTAATGTTCTGACAAAGGTGTGCTAAAGGAACTATGAAACTAAATGAAGGACCTGGTTCGTTTCGCATAGCGAACCGTTCAGGATCAAAAGTATCCAATTGGATACATCAGTCGGAACACTACAAATGATAGTATTTCGGCAAGTGGCGCCCAACGTTTTTAGTGCACCAACATGTGGAATATAACGATTTTGGTTGTGCTCCGCTACAATAACACATACATATTATTAGAGTTTGTGTATCGGTACGATACCTTTATACGCTTCAGGACATTATGGTACGCTAGCATAATATTTATTTTCGAACAGTGCCAGGATTGGCAAATTCTGATTGGTTGCCGTGTTCATTTTTGAGGATTCCCATCTAATTTCGAGTTTTTTCCTACTTTCTATTCCCGATATATTTGTATTATTTTATATTATGAGAGCGATTTTGACATTTATAGCTTTTACAAGAATTACTCTTTAAAAATTACGGGATACAGGGAAATGATCATGGTTTGGGAATTAGTTATCCAATATTACATGTATACAACTAAAATGAATTAAGATTAATAAATAATAACTGAATACATATAAATATTCAATGGAAGTTATTTAAAAGTTTAAATTGCAATGAAAATCAACTTCGTCTCATTTTTAAATCCTCCATGCAATTGAAAAAAGGATTCAGTTTTTTTAAATGAATTATTTGCATATTTTATGCCTTTTGTTCCCTAGGCATTTAAATTTGGTAAATCACATTTCTTTGATAAATATTCAATGGTTGGTTATTTAAAATGTAAAATTATAATGAAACGAATGGAAAGCAAATCCATCCATCTATCCATCTAAAACTGGGTTAAATGCCATAATAATCGGGCCACTCGTCATGTCATTCGATACACACAGGTTATTAATTATTCATATACACGTAAGAGGGTGGTGGTAGTGGTTAGGTGTAGCGATAAAACGGTAACATACCAATGGCTGCGTCTGTATAATTGTCGCTTAATCCAATGTGGGGCGTTATAGATTTTTTGCACTTTAGAAACAGGACAATCAATATCCAACCTAATATTAGGACCAAATATACAAATCCCAGCATACTCATGTAGAACGGTTTAATGATAGCAGGCGCGGATGTTGTGTGTTGTTATGGTAATGTTCTTCCAGTTTTTGTGATTGGAGGCCTCGATGCCTTCCCGAGAGGAAGAAGAGCCGTTGATTTTCAATATTTTTCAAATTCAAATCGATGATATCCTTCATAGGCAATTGTTAAATATAATTTTTTAACACCTTGATATCATTAAACATATTCTTTTCTTTATAATATAAACCAAATCCAAAGTATTTCGTTCTATGTTTTTTTTATAAAATTTTCAAATATATGAAAATCGATAAAATGACATTTTTTCCACAAATGGAACAAACACACGCAGCGTTTTCGGTTACGAGCTCAGGACATGTTGGCGTTAAACTTAATACTGTTGGCCATAGTTGACCAACAGACTTGTCCAACGGCTAACTCAATACCATGGCTAACTAACTAACTGACAAACAAACTAACTATTAGCCAAAGGATACAGTCATTACAGTGGCTTAATCGCTGTGGTTAGAGTTGTGTGTGTGTGTGTCGAAATACCCATACTCTTTTTTTCTAATCTTCAAGGGGTGATTTACCTTTGGGGAGCAAAATACCTAATACACTCACTCACACACACACGTGAATTTGATAAGGCCTGTAAAAATATATATATATTCATACGTCATAATGTCCAGTTGTAGTTATATGTGTGTTTGTGTGTATATACACACGCTCATACCTCCATATATCCTGGTGTATATCGGTGTGTAATACTATTTCACTGGCATAGGTTTCCTTGGTTTCCACAACAGTAAAAAAATAATGTCTACCATGGAAATGTGATTAAGTCGTCCTACCCATGTACCTGCCTGCTTGCCGCCAGTTGAAGGCTCGTCCATGACCACCGCCACCCCCTATCGAAATGGAAAGCTACAATGACTTGAAACTTTGCGAACTCGTCAATGGCGTTGACCACTTTTTAAATCGCATTTATATCTTGACTATATTTTTCCATATCTATTCTATTTGGTTACGAAATATTAGGGTGTAACGATATTAAAAAAAAGAATTTTTTAAATATGCGCCAAAGCATTTTAATATTTTTTATCCCCTTAAAGGGCAACAATAATCGGCGTTAGGTTCGTCCAGATAATAAGTAATATCGGTTGGGATATCGTCGGTGATTGAATTTAACTTAGTTCATACTATGTTTAAATATCTGCCAGTCCTAAAAACACCCTCGCCGCCACCTAAAGCCTCCATCAAAAATTAAGCCATACATTCAAGATTTTTTGAAATATCCACGTATAATTTTTAACAGACATTGCTAAATAATTTTAGCACCGAATTAAATAAAAAAAATTAAAGAAGAAGAAAAAGAGGACCGCAAAGTAATAATATAAACAAAATATGTATGTATTTGTTCAATATATTTTTAAGTTGTATCCAATACTAAATTTAAAATTGATTTTTTTTATATGATTTTTGTTTTTCTTTCAGAAAGAAGCCGCATTTTTTTATTATTTAGCATTTTAACAAATTCTGGTTTATATATTTTATAAAATTTTTAAATTTTTATATTCAATAAAGAAAATCTTTAAAATAAATAAAAGTGTGTGTTTTTTCTATTTCCCTGTTGTTCGAAGTAAAATAAAGCAGTTATTTAGTTAATGCCTGAAAGTATGCTTCAAATTACAATTATTCGAAATTATTCACATTTATTAGTTCGATATGGCAACACTGGCAAAGATGCCCGGATAGCGCCATCTATTGATACGCATGACCCCTCTGAGTTAACACAAAACTGAAAAGGCAAAAAACTGCATACCATTAAAATTTTTAGAATCGATTTTCTGCGGTATTTTTCATTAAAAAATGAATTTTTAAAATATTTACTCGATTGTTTTGTTTTAAGCTTTATTATTTTCAGGTTTTTAAGAGACACATTTACTGGCTTCCCCTCAAAAAATCCGAAAATAAAAAACCCTCCACAACTTTTTTTGACACATTTGTTTGGCCATTTGCGCGATAAATATTCATCAAAATGTAATCCATTAGACTTGATAAATATTCAACGATGGTTTAAAACATCCCTACTTATACTTGGGTCCCCGAGAGCGACAAAAAAATGAAAAACATTTTGGTTCAGTAATCGATCATTATCACAAATTTTGAACCATTTGACCCGACAAAAATTAATAAAATTAATTAATTAATTTCCTAAGTATCAGTGACATACGTAGAGGGGGATCCAGGACCCGGCACAGCACCCCTCACCATCCGGATTGAATATTTTTTTCATTTTTGCAATGATAATTTTAATATTGAATATTGTCTTCTTTGGCCAGACCCGATCTTAAATTCTAAATTTCCCGACAATTGGTCCATAACAGCGGCCTTACTGATGAAACATGGGTCTAGGACCAATATATAATACCCTCACAATTCAATCCCAGTTAAGTGCTGTTTTCAAAGTATCAGTGTATCTTTTATAAAAAAAATATTTTTAAAATTTCGAAATTTAATGTAGGATAATGTAGGTTATATTTAAAATTTAAATCCTGCAGTTAAGTGTATTTTTCAAGGATTCCAAGCCAGTTTTCAAAAAGGAAAAATTAGACAATTACTTTTCTAGTTTTTTATTGATGAAATCATTGAAAATCATAAATAAAACCGACACAATAACAAAATATAGATAAAATACTTTACAAAAGTGCTTTTAAATCGTATTTTTATTGAAAAATATCCCTAAAAATCGATTTTTAAAATTTTAAATGGTGTGCTGTTTTTCAATTGTTCCGGATTTTTCAATTTTTGCTTTGCTCAGCGCGATCATGTATTTCAATAGATGGCACTATCCGGACATCTTTGCCAGTGTTTGAAATTTAAAGCATACTTTTAGGCGGAAAACGAAACTAAAGCAAAATAAAAAAGGAATACCTTTGACTTTTTTGTTTCAAACATTTAAATTTGTTTATTAAATTTAATTTAAAATAAATTGTAGATTTTATTATTAAATATTGAAATTACATTGTTTTGGTTGAAAATTAAAAGTGAAAATAAAAAATTACTTTATCTGAAAATAAGAAGTTATTAAAAATGTTCAGCATGAAAATTTGAAATTGCGAACATATTTTTTTAGTTTCAAATTTGTTGTAGATGGACTTTTAAATTAAAAAAATATGACATTTATCCTGTAACAAAGAAGTAAAGGAAATCAAACATTCTTCTGAAGGGGAACTTTCTTCAGCTCATGAAATGATGTAGGTTCGATATATTTAAGGAAACTAAATTTCCTTCACCATTCAATGAAAAAGTATACCAAACACACACCATCCTCTGCATAAATATAAGTACCGTCCAAATGGTCTCAGGTTGAAAAGAACTTTTATTTCGCCTTCAATGTTGAATCAATCCGAGAGTACCAAAAGTGGGTTGGAAAGGCATTCCTTCCGACCTTAAATCAAAGGAGATTATACTTTCTTCTGCAGATCAGCAACATCCAATGGTAAGGAAATCATTAGGCTTATGAAGCATCTACCTCTTCCAAATGAAATTGGGTATACAAGTGTATTTTTTGTAAGGAGGTTATTAAATGTAGATTTTGGGAAGATCGGAGGTAACATCCGAAACTAGTCCTCACTGTTGCACAATTCCATATTTTCCATCCGTAATAAAAGGGTTGTGGGTATAAAATCTGGTAACTGGAAATAATAAAAAATAAAAAAAAATATTTTAATTAGTTGAAATGTGTATATTTTTTATAAATAATATAATATTTGTTATAAATATAATATTTTAAAACTATATCTACCTCATCATAATCCCGAAACCAGGAAATAGTAATATTGTATTAAAACTCTCAGAACTTCATCCACAAAAGCCAGTATTTCTTGGTTCAACCTAGTACATACCTGAAAAAAAGTATAAATATTAGTATCTTAAGAAGGCTACTTAACAAAGAGGAAAATGTGTGTTTTTCTGTGTGTGAGTGGTGTTTTCCTTTCTTTTGTCCTGAAACAAAAATGTGTGTTCGCCGTGGTGGTCAACAAACAACCACTTGTATGCAAAGCGTGTTATTAACGCCCCCATGTTTGTTCTATGCAATTCCATAGAATTGTTAAAAGCTTACAACTAATTTCTAACCTTTTTGGAATTTTACCACCGTTCACCAACACCACAACTCAGACCTATAAAAGGAGAAAAGAACCAAAAAAACAGCAAAGGAAGCTAACGGAAATTTTCAATATATACCCTTCGACTAAAAACAGAATTTGTTTATGGGCAGTAAAACGAACGAAAGGAGAATGTGTTCAATACTTACAATTGTTGTTATGTTAATTGTTGACACTCATTGTTGCAAAGTAACAATACGGCGGACCCAACGACGTCATAAATAATTAACATGGTGGTAAAGTAAATTTGTTTAAAACCATGCTACAACAAAATTGATTACGCCACACAAAAAAATGTTTGTTGTTATAAAAATAGCTGAAATTTACTTAGTAATATATATTTGGTTATTTTTGGCATTTGTTATTAAACACATATGTGTTTACCAAGCACACATACACCCACATTGAGTAATGTAATTGACAATATACATATGTTAATAAATTAGCTTTTTTTCTTTCGGCTAAAAAAAATCAATTTGAATATACATTTTCAAAAAAGTCCTTTATTTTTTATTTAAATATATGTTTTTTTTTGTTTTATAATATGAATATTATTTTTTATATATAATTGTATACTGTCGGTAATACAGGTTGTTTTTTTTAATTTTCATAATAATTTCTGTTTATTTTTTTTAAATACATACTACAAATTTTAAATTTGGCAAAATACTTTTGGTTGTTGTTTTTCTTTTTAGTAATTCTTTTTGTTTTGTATACACACACAATTTAAATTCAAATTTAATTTGGAATTTTAAATAATGTTTTTTTTTAATTATTTTTGTTGTTGAGGTGAGCTTTTATATTTTTATCGGTTGAGGCACATGTCTGTTTTTTTTTCTTTGAGGGGATTTTAATTTTGTATTAAAATTTTGTTTGTTGGTGTTATAGTTTTCATATTGGGTATATTATTTTTGTCGTTTTTTCTTTCACTTTTTTGGGTTTCCCGGATCAAGGCACTGGAACTAAAAAGGTTTATATAACTTAAAAAAAGAAACAAAGATATTAATAAATTATAATAAATAAATATTAAAATATATTTGTTATCAGTTAAATAAAAAATAAAACAAAATTATTCTTGTCCTAAAATAAAACTGAAAAAGAAATAATACGTAGGTTAACAAAATTTCCTGGAGTACAAAGAAGATAATTTCATTCAAAAACATACCATAGAGGGTAGGTCAAATAGGGATTTGTCCTTAAATGTGAACTTAAATTAGTAAATAAATTGTAGATTAAAATATGTTGTGTATGAATTTCATGGAGTACAAAGTAGAGAAGCTGTCAAGGTACTCACATTGCGATATTCTCGGATACTGAGAGGTACCCCATTTTACCAATGTAGAGAAGACAAGAGATTTAGAGATTTTTAATAATTCTTTTTTGTCTGTAAGGGTAACGATCATTGTATAATTTGTAAGTAAGTATTTTTCTCTTTCGAGTCAAGCTTAATAATCGATGATTCCAATAATAAAAAAACACACACACACAAAAGTTTTCATAAAATTGAAGAGAGGAAAAAATTTCCTACACCATTTATTCATTGCAGTGAAGAAAAATAACAAATTCACAACATCTTTTGCATAATTAGAAGTGTCGTAGAAATGGTCTCAGGTTGAAGAAAAACTTTTATTTCGCCCTCAATGTTTTATTGATCCAAAAATACCTGCAGTGATTTCTACCATAAGGTGACATCTCTTCTCTGTTTAAAAAATGTATTTAGGTTTCTCATATACTAATGCAAGTCTCTGAGTGGTTGCCCTTAAATAAAATCAGATTACACTTCCTTCTGCAAAAATGGTAAGGGAATCATAAGACTTTTGCTCTACCTGATCCTTATATGAAATAACTACAAAAATTGATTCATAGGTCATGATAAATACTGAATACAATTAGAGACCAAAATAAGAAACAAAGAAAAATTTCAATGCTACTATTACAGTGGAAGAATTCGACAAAAGCTATAAAAAATATCAAAAGTGGAAGGAACGTTTAAAGGCTATGCGAAACTTGGATATATAATGAATTTATTTGAAGAATCATTTACCATGCAAAAATAAACATGGATCTACCATGAACTTATTTGGAGAATCATTTAGCGTCCAAAAATTCAATATTTGCAATCAATTCTGATTATATGAGGATTTTCGTTCCACATTGGTTTCACGTATTTAAGTTCTATCGTTTTCGGCAATATATCCCCGAATTTGTTCGATAGAATAAAGATTTATATAGGTTGTTTATTACATAGCGAAATTCCACTTTTCATATATGATTTTCAAATATAACTGAGACAATTAATAACATTTTGTAGAAAAATTTACGTCTCAATATCAATTCATTCATAATGTGAAAGTGAACAATATCTTAGAAATATTTTACAATGATCTGCGTAGATATACATTTTTATTTGAAAAATCATAATACTCACATTTCAGATGTAACGTCATATGTACTTCTTTAATAAAACATAAAATTGTATTCTTAATAAAAGAAATGTAAACTTATCAAAACAAATTAATTAAAATATAAATGTTCATTACAAATAAAAACAGTTACGACCATTCTTATAAGTTACTTTTTGTTATTGGTTTGATTTTTCGAATACAGATTTAAAGTGGGCATTTTAAAGACAACTTTTTAATTTAATGTACAAATTTATGTCTAAAACTTCCAAATTATTTATGAAAATTACCAAATTAGACAGATAAATTACTAAATTACTTTATTTTAAATTTTAAATGCAACCAATAACAAAAGGGGACTTATAAAAATTGTTCTTCGAAAAAAAAATATATTTTTTAAATAATGATTATTTTTATTTATAGTGTCAACATTACTTATTAAATGTGTAAATGATTAAATAATAAAATAAAAATAAAAACCTTAACACATTGTTGTTTTTGTTTTGTTTTCTTCTTAATACACAAAAATAATAATAATAATAGTAATTAATTAAATTAAAATATAATTAATGCTGAAGCAAAAAAAAAATAAAGAATAAAATTAATGGGAAATAATAAAGATAATCAAATAGGTTTTAATGTGTTTAGACACATGAAAAAATAATTAAAAATAAAAATAATACAAAACAAAAATAAATTGAATAAAAAGTTTTGACTTTTTTCGGTTCTTTATAAAAACAAAATGAAAATTTTCTAATAAAAATAAAATTAAAAAAAGTAATATGTATATGTATATAATATGTATAAATAAAATTTATGAAAAAATAGGACTATGTTTTGAGAAACTGATGAGCAAATAGGTAGGTTGGTGGGTAGGTAGATAGGGTCAAAACAGACAAATGTATGCTTGAGGAGGATAATTAGTTATTATCTACAGAGGTGGTGGTGGTGGTGCATGTGAGAGTGACTAAATTGATTGATGAAATGTAAGGAGGGCATATTGTTTTTTTTGTGGCATCAAATCAAGGGAATAGGGAAAGGAGGGAGGAGGTTAGTTGATGATTTACAGCAGAGTTAGTATTATGACTAATGTAGGGTAGGATTTTAAGAATTATTTTCTTTTCTTTTTTTACAAATATGTTTTTGCAAACGCATATAATTAATTATTTTCTGTGTTTTTTTTTATAAATGTATATAATTGTTGTTTTAGTTATAATCTAGTTACTATAATCTTTAAATGCTTATTTTAATTTAAAATTGTTATTGTTTTATTTTTTTAATTATTATATAATGTATTTCAAATGGTTTTTGTTTTTTAAATTTATGAATTCATTTTTTTAGTAATTTTATGAATTCGTTAACTTTTAGGTTCCCCCTTCTTTTCTTCAACTTGTTTTTTGTTTGTTTCACAAATAATAGATTGTTTGTTTTGTTTTAACTATATATTATATAAATAATTTATACTCTTCAAATTTTGTTAATATGAGATGAGCTTGTTATAAGTTTTTTTTTTTCTCATTCAAAGTTATTGTAATTTTAACTTATTTTCTTTAATATTTTAATCAGCATAATTTTAAAAGGCAACATGCTTTTTTATGTTACTAAATTTAAGGGTTGTTTTTCTTTCTTTTCTAACTAAAAAATAATATACTTTTTTTATGCTCAAAAGAAGCAACAAAAATTATTAAATTACAAAAAAAAAGTTTGAAAAAAAAACAAAAACTAATTAAAAAGAGAATTTAAACAATTTTGTTTTTGGATAAAAAAGGATGAAACCCATGTATAGAGGCATTTTTAATAATTAACAATTTTTGTTTTTTAATTATATGAAAAATAATAAAATATACAAGCGTCATCGAACGACGTCATGAAAACTTTTCTTAAACATTTGTTTCACTTGTTGGTGTTGCTGTTTTTTATGTTGGTTGTGTTGGTGTTTATATTGGTTTTCTGGTGGTAATGTCCTTGGTGTTAGTAGTCCTGTTGTTGTTGTTTTTATTTCATTTCATGTTAACTTTATTAAGACCAATCTGCTGTATATGTGAAGTCTTGGAAGAACATTTGCTCTTCGTCAGTCAAAACACGTGGTTCCTTTGGCGGTGTCAATTGTGGTCTTTCTGAAGTAAATTCTTCATCGAAATTGGATACGTCTTCCAAGTGTGTCTGCAATTAAATGGAAAAAGGTAATTTATAATTAAAACTTTGTTAAATAGAGAGGAAGGAAAAATATTGATTAAATGTTGGAATGATAGCTTACAATGGTAGGCACAAATGGTGGCCTAACTCGGCGCAGTAACAAATCATCCCAGACTATTGAACGGAAGAAGGCTTGCTTCTTTACATCTTCAGCATCACGTTCCGATGAACCCAGACGTCTTTCAGGATTTTTACGTAGAAGCTAAAAGAAAAATAAACAAAAATTTAATATATTAAAGAATTTAAAAAGATCACACAAGATGGGAAATTTGATTTAAAAAAGTTCTTACAAGAGGCATTTGGGTATAAAAGGTTTTTTTTTGCAAAGAATATATAAAAAGCTTCTAGCCAATAAAAAAACTAATGGAACTGATGAGGATCAGATCAGAAACTATAATCTTCCCTGCCTTACCCCTTGGTGAATACAGTCCAAATAATGTTGGAAAACATTGTATAAAGCCTAAAAATTCAATGGAGTCTACAGAGGCTCCCCTTGACTTGCCTAAAATTTCTCTATTCTGCCTGTCTAAGGAAGAACTATGGACCTTTAGCTCTACTATGACTTATAGATCGTTTACAAAAGATATCGGACTTCAAACTAGTGTGCAATTACTTAATGATCTTCACCTTGTCTAAAAGGCCACCCCGTCTAAATTACTTCTATATTTTAAATCAAAGTTTTATCGTCTTTATAGAAATATGAAAGCAGTGCTTGATAAGCTCCCATGCTCCCCATATAAAAAATTACATCCGAAATTGAAAAAATCAATTAAATGTAATATTTATGTACGAATTTCAAACTTACCCTTCTCATAATAGCAATAGCTTCCAATGACAAGAATCGTGGATAACGAACTTCGTCATTAACAATTGAATCGAATACTTCTTCTTCGTCATCACCAGGGAAGGGTGACTAAAACGAAAACAGAATATATGTATAAAAATCAGTATAATAAAATATACAAATTAAAGGTGTTTAGCTTACCTCTCCCACCAACATTTCAAATATCAATACGCCCAAGCCCCACCAATCTACAGCACGAGTGTATGATGTCTCGGTTAATACTTCAGGAGCCAAAAATTCGGGTGTGCCACAGAATGTACCAGTGCGATCACCAAAGCCCATACCTTCTTTACACAAACCGAAATCGGCAATTTTAACATAACCTAAAAAAGAAGAAAAGTAAATTTAATAATTGATTGAAAAAAAATGAATTTGAAAAAGAGATAGAGGTGGATTTAGAATTCTCAAAAATACGTGAGAGTCTTCAGAATAAGAAAATATAAATTAAGTAGGTGTTTAAAGTTTGTTTTTATAATGAAAATGGACTTGACGAGTTTCGTATATCAATCGTTATATTGAATCGGTATCCCTAATATTCCGTATTTTGGTGATTAGGAACATGTTTGGATTTGTAAATTGGTATTCATATTGCCCTTTTGGTCCCTTTTTATGGTAGCCATATAACTATTAACAAAATCATCAATATTGGTACAAATTTTAGTGTGGACCCTATATTCAAAGTAAGCCACAATACTCGGAATTTTTTCGTGTGAAAATTTTGTAAAAGGGAAGAAAAAAAGAAACGGGAAGCGGCGTAACCATTGCTAAAAGGGCAAATACCTCTTCTCGATATTTTATTTATTCAAAGATGATTCAAAGGTCTCACGTGTATGGAATACGCATTTGATATTCTCATAGGTATTCGGCTGTACTTCCAAAATACTCTAAGGAATTCTTGCCTTCTTCTACACGTTGAACACCTCTTGAATGTCTTCTATACGTGAAGTACACCTTGAAGATATACCATATACATATACCCTTCACCTGAAAACATAAAATCGATGGGGATTTATTTATGGAAGCGAGTAAAAATTGATAGTAGAGACGATTACAAATTCTAAATTACAGGCTATTTGTTTGAAACTAAATAATAGAGGACTGTTCAAAATTGATAGTTTTTGGAAGGAAGATTTGAGCTACCCAGAAACTTGGACCCATTTCGATCAATTATGGAACGGTGATTTTCTACCTAATACGAATCCCAAATGTAAAATCAAAGCCAATTTCGTACAAAAACGAGTCCTAGCCCTCCAAAAACATGAAATTCGGGAGGGACCTGAAACTTGGGCCAATATTGATCATTTTTGTTAGGGTGAGTTGAATGTTTTAAAACTGTGGCTGTAGTCTTCCTAATTTTACACTCAAGGGACGAGGGAACGTAGTAGTAGTTTTTAAGAGACTGGGAAAATCATCAAAAAATAACACTTTCAAATTATCGTTATTCGACTGTACTTCTAAATTACTGGAAGGAGTTTTTTTCTTCCTCTACATGCAGTACACCTCTTGAATATCATCTGTACGTGAAATACATATTGACGATATACCATATAAATAATTCAATATGTTTGCTTTATAATAATTTAATAATTTCCTTTTCTATAAAATGCGGACTCTTGGATATGGTATTAACCCATTTATTTTTAATGTAAATCTCTCATTCTTTCTCACTTACCTTCCGTATCCAATAGTAAATTATCCAATTTCAAATCACGATAGATGATTTTATTTTCATGCAAATACTGTAAACCTAATACAACACAAGCGGCATAAAAGACAGCTCGTGGTTCGGAGAACACATCGGTGTGGATGTGCATCATTAGATCGCCACCAGCGGCATATTCCATGACAAAACAAACATGTTGCTGCAAGAAGAAAACAAAAAACGCAATTAATAAAAATTTTTAACATACACAGAAAGTAATTTTCCAACTCACCTCCGTCTGGAAACAGGCATAAAGATTAACCAAAAACGGATGACGCATGGCATTGGCCACCTCAAAGATACGTTTTTCACTGAGCAATGATTCCACCTCGTCACGGGCAATAATGTCGCCCTTCTTTAAAGCTTTAATAGCATAGTACTGATTATTGGTGCGCAACTGACAGAGTATGACTTTGCCAAAGTGGCCGCGACCCAAAACACTCAACATACGGAAATTGTCCATTGACAAAATACCAGGTGGAGCGGTGATATTTTGTGATTGACGTCGTGATTCATAGGCCGAATCACGATATTGTAGGCCACGGGCGACATTACGCCTTGAATTGGATTGAGCAGCTGCAGCAGCGGCGGCGGCATTTTGTAATTCAAATTGATTTTGATAGATCGGTTGCTGCGGCTGAATGGGTGCCTGTTGCTGCTGCTGTGTAGCTGGTTGATAGCTTTGTTGACGTTGAGCAGGTTGTGGGAAATGTGGTGCATTGGCCTCACTGGCCGATAAATGTCCACCATAAACAATGGGCGTTTGTGGCTCCTGTATAATTGGTGATGGTTCTGAAGAATGTTGTTGTTGTTGTATATTGTTGTTGTTGCTAATCGAAACATTGCTAAATTGTGGTATAACCTAAAAGGTAGGAATTGTAGGAAAAATGTTTTAAAAATTTTAATTGATTTTTTTTTTGCATAAAAATATTTTGAATGAAGTTAAAAATTATTGTTTAATAGAAATAGGTGTTTAGTGTTGTTTTATTTTATTTTTATTGAAGAGGGGGTGCTTGTTATTCTACAATTGTCAAACATTCATCCATTCAATTGTTGTAACGCAAAAGTCTTGTAAAAGCTTTTGTGCTTGTGTGTAGTAAAGCTCTATGAAGTGTGCTGTTAAAAAAGTGTAGGAAGTTTAATTTTTCTCGCTATTCACTCAAAACAATTGTGTACAAAATTTACATTAAATATTTTTTATAAATATAAAAAAAATAAATAAAAAGTGAGGTTAAGTTTTTGTAACTTGGAATTTAAAAAAATAGACAGTAAATGGGTAGAAAAGTGAAGAAGTCTGTGAAGAACTACCTCCAGAAAAAATAATTTTCAAAACTAGTAAAAACGTCGTCTTTATATACCCTTCACCTAAATACATACATCGATGGGGATTTATAAATGGAAGCTATGACAACGAAACATTTTTGGTACGAAGACTTGATACCGAATGAAAATAAAAAATATAGCCGAAACTTGAGTCAAAATTGGTAGTAGAGAGGATTACAAGTTATTTGTTTGACAAAAAACCTGCCCAAAATCCCCAAGCACCGAATAATAGAGGACCGTTCAAAATTGATAGTTTTTGATAGGAAGATGTGGGCAACCCAGAAACCCATTTTGATCAATTTTGGAACGAATCCCAAATATAAAACTTAGGCCATGTTTGTAGAAAAACGTTTCCAAGCTCCCCAAAAACCCGAAAATCGGGTGGGACCGTTATATGGGGATCAATATTAAAATTTTTTGGGTGAGTTGACATCCAATGAGAATCCCAATTTTTAAATTAAATTCATTATGGTAGAAAAACGTGTCTAAGCTCCCAAAAAAAAAGGAAATTCGGGTTATATGGGGGCTAGTCCAAAAACTGGAACAATATTGATACTTTTTGGTTGGAAGATTTGCTACGCAGTGAGAACCCAAAATATAAAATTGCAGCTATTTCGGTTGAACAACGTGCCCTAACTCCCTGAAATACCGAAAATCGGGTGATACTTAAATGAGAACTAAATAGATTATTTCGATTAAAAAACCTACTCAAAATACCGAATAATGGAGGGTACCGTTAAATAGTAACTCTCCTGAAACTTAACCCAATATTGATACTTTTTGGTAGAGAGATTTTCTACCCAATGAGAATCCCAAATATAAAATTGAAGCTATTTTGTTTGAAAAACGTGTTCAAATTCCTCAAAATACCGAAATTCGGGAGGTGCCTAATTTCTGGTCCTGGTTTGAAGCCTAGATCCACTTAGGCGCTTTTAACTTCGCCCCTTGCAGAGAGGTAAGAAATACACAAAATGTACATTTGTAGCAACTTATTACATCCCGACAAATGGATACATGTGACCTATGTTGAAGGACAAGAACTTCGACGGATAAAATAATAAAAATTGATTCCACAGAAAAAAATTCAAAGTGCATTGGATAAACATTCCTCTCAATAAAAATGTACAAAAAGATGCTGGTGATAAATGGATTTGTGCCGCTGGTAGGTGGTAATTTTGGTGCGAAGGGATCTTTTTATTTAAATATTTCCTTGAGATATTTTTTAATGGTTGGTTTCGCTTCTTCTTCTTCTTTCTTTTTACCTTAATTTCGGGTGTATCTTTTTCATCTTCGATATCGGTAATGAAATGTTTAACTGTGGTAATATACGTTTTTGTTGCTGGCTCATGGGCACCACTGGCAGTTGGCTCATGGACAGAATCAATGGGTGTACTCGTTTTGGATGACGAGGATGGTACATTTGCACTTGTTGTTGTTGCAGGTGGTGGTGTTATTGTACCATTATTAGAATATAATTTAGTTTGTTGTTTTTGTTGTTGTTGCTGTTCTTCATGCTGTGTTTCATTACATGCTAGGGCTGATGTTGTTGTTGGCGTGGGAATATCAGACAAATTTGCCAAGGACGATGATAAAGCTTTGCTGATAGATGTCGTTGTTGTTAAACTTAGAGGAATGGTCGGTTCAATTGTTATATGAACAAGATTTATGTGAGCCTGTAAGAAGTTTTTGTTGTTTGTTGTGTGTGTGTTTTTTTAATTTTTGTTTTATTTGAAAAAAAAAATTGTAAAAACATATTTATATGTTTGTGATAGTAGCGGGACAACCATTAGTGATTTTTTCTGGGTTTGTTATGATTATCTGGTTAGAACGACACATTGGTTTTGCTTGAGGTGGGGATGGTGGAGGACAAGGACAATGCACACAACGGACGACCGTCAAATGGCGTTTCGTTTTTGTTGGTGTTGTACAAATAAAAAAATGTATATCCCAAAAATTAGTGACATATAAATAGACCCTTCCCAAATTTAAATAAAACCTGTTGAAGGCTTTTGGAGATTTGTTTATCTTCTGCAATTAAATAACTTTTCCAAAAATATGTAGTTGATCCAGATTTTGAAAATCTGTGAAATACCGTTCAAATAAATAGTAGTGCTTGAAGATCATTTCTATTGAAGTTGAAATCTACAATGTCTTCTGGATAGTTTTTTATGTAGGGAAGAATACTACGGAAAACCTATAAAGATACTTCTATGTATATAATTCTATTTAAATGTCTCCGAATATATACAATTCTAATACAAGTATAGACGTTTAAGACTTCTATCAACACAGAACTTGGATGGTTTTTTTAAATACTTCCTTCTATAAAAAATGTTTAAGGTCTTGTAGCTATGTAATATCTCTAAAGGAATATTTTATTTATGAAATACCTATTAAGACCCTTTGTATAATATCCCTTAATCTACAATACATATAACTGTATTACAGTATTATATATATATATATATATAAAAGGGCTCTGTAGACCTTATTTATACAGAAGATCTCAAATAGTTTTATATAAGTAGTAGAAGTTATTGTAGATTTAAAGACCCGCATGTAGCTTTTTTACTTCTGAAGAAGTGTATATGTTAGCTTTAGACGTCATCTTCTAGCTATTGGGGTAGTAGGTATAGAATTATTATAAGAGATTTTCGGAGGTTTTAAACCATATGATAATTGCAGAAACTCTTTAAGCTGTATGAGAATTATTTAAGGTCTTTTAACTAGTTTTTAAGCTATAGAATAACAGTGTGAAGTATTTTTGCTTAAGAAGTTTTTGAAGATGGCATTTATCTGTTGTAGGTCATGTGTGTAGAAGGTCTTTCATTCAGATGTATAGTATCTTTAGAGGTTCTTCGAAGCATAGAATATATTTAATAATGTCTGTTGAAGATCTCCTGGATGTTGAAGCTCTAGGCATGAAAGATCCGTTACAGATCTTTCAACAATATAATTTTTACTATGGAAGTCATATTGAAGGTCTTCTAGGTCAATGTTTTCTAGCTATAGGTATATCTCAAATATATAAGTCCTGTAGGAGGTCTCCAAGTTGTAGAATACTTTTAGAAGTTCTTCTTGTCATCGAAATTATTTGGAAAGATTTTCAGAATTGCCATTCTAGGGTTTCCGACTTTGAAATGCTTTTAGAAGAAGCTATGATATGACAGACCTACTATAGAAGTCTTGTAGTTGTTGTTTTTTCTTTAGGAGGCCTATGGAGGCTAAATAATATGTTAAAATTACCTGTAAATGGTCTTATAGGTATTGACGACTCTTTATGACATTTGTTGTTGTAATAGACTTTTAGAAGAAGCTATGAAAACTCAGCTATATAATCTATTTAGAGCTTCGTATATCTATACATGAGAATACTTTAACTATAACACTTGTCGAACATCTTCAAAGACCTGTAGAATGTCTCATAGCTATAGAATAATTTTTTGCTATAGTAAACCTTGTAGACACGGAAGATCTGTTAAAAAGTCTTGTAGAAAATATTTTTCCTGCTGGAGACTCCTAGAGGCTACTTAATCATATAATATATTTCAAAAGGTCTGTAGGGTGTCTATATATTTTGAGGTCCTTGGTTTTAAAACATTTTAGATATAGAAAACATTTCAGATGGATTGATTCTCAGTTTATTTGATGTATTTAATCTTCGAGCTATAGGCTATCTTTGGAATGTCTTCCAATTTAGGAAACGTCTGAAGAGTTTCTTGAGACCTCTTTATGGACTTATATTTATAGATTATATTGTATAGTGATCATTCTAAGTATTTTCATTTACAGAGTAAATCTATGTATTCTCATTCTCTATTTTGAAAATTTCTTCCTGTATATAGAAACATTTTTATATTTTAAAATAAAAAAATATATTTTTCTTATTTTCTACAACACATAATGTCCAATATTTAATTATGTGGAGAGAGAGAGGACAACAACGTGAATATGTGAGGGTATGGCTTGTAGCTGTGTAGGTGTAAGGTTTACAACAAGTTCTGCTCTCTGTTAACTAGCAATCATAAGTTCAATTTACTACTGGTGTAGTAAATGTTGTTGCTCTGGTTATTCTAACTTTATATGAACTATAAGTTAATTATACAGGTTTTCCCCACACACACACACGCACTCATTAACAATTATGAAAAACCAAAGTGAAAATGTAATTATAAATTAAGAAATGGAAAACAATAAAAACAGGGGAATGAGAACCGGTGGAAGACCCAACCACAAATGTATAAACGTGATAAACAGATATGTAAATCAGTTAACACAAACACGCAGGGGCACAAATACACACACATAAAACAATAATCACACTTTGTGGTGACACAAATTGAAATTGATTTCTGAATTACGGAATGCAATGACGATGAGAATACGAAGAGTCGTCTCAAATCAATTAAAAACAAAACACACACAGACGCATAGAAATACACATGGACTTTCACTGAATGGTGGTGGTGACAGTTCTCTTACTCTCTGTGTGTTTTTTCTTCATTATCTCACAAATTAAAATTAATAAAAAATTAAAAA